AAGTTAAATGCGATAATTTTTATGTACACTGATTTTAAAAGTATCGCATAAGCATCAGGAAAGTATAAGCAGAGTGGAGATATTGGCAGGGTAGAAGTTAAGAAAAGGAATGACGTAGTTTGCGAGCAGTATTTATACTTCGTTAGGTGCATAAGTATAGTTAAGCTGTGATTGGTTACTTTTAGGTTTTAGTTCCATTTTTCAAGCAGCGTTATGTAACATGGAATGATCTCGAATTTGGGAGAACAGATGAATTTAGGGGGAGAACATAAAATCTAGAATAGTTAATTTTAAAGTTACCAATCATTTCTTACCATAGCCATCGTATTTTCTTGTATCTTACATATTTCGAATCCTGTCGACTTAATAAATGTGATATTTTAATAATGTAATATTTTAAATAAATGGGATATTTTATTAATTTATAAATTTAAAATAAATGTTATATATTTATGTTATATGTTATATGTTATTATTTTATTAATTTATAAATTTTAAATAAATGTTATATTATTAATAATGTGATACTTTAAATAAATGTGATATTTTAACTGCGTAGAAGACACTGGTATTTTTAACAGCTTTCGATAATCGTCATGGCTGAGTGGAAAGGCATACAGCCGAAGCTAACAAAAATTGGATTTTGAAGAATCACCAGTCTTTATTTTCACACATATCAAATTATTTTGGTAGACGTTTATCTAATCAAAGTTAAATATGATAATTTTTATGTACACTGGTTTTAAAAGTACGACGTAAGCATCTTAGACAGGAAAGCATAAGCAGCGTGGAGATGTTGGTAAGGTAGAAGTTAAGAAAAGGAATGACATAGTTGCTTGCGAGCAGTAGTTTTACTAAGTAAGTGCATAAGTATCGTTAAACTGTGATTGGTTAATTTTAGGTTTTAGTTCCATTTTTCAAGCAGCGTTATGTAATATGGAAAGATCTCTAATTTGGGAGAACAGAGGAAGTTAGGGGGAGAACATAAATCCTAGAATAGTCAGTTGTGAGGTTGCCAGTCATTTCTTAGCATAGTCATCATATTTTCTTATATCTTACATACATATATATTTACTTATTACGTGCTCCTCCCTCAGGCACTATACGGAAAGAAAGGGGTGCCCCGTGGAGGTTTTTTTAAGGGAAACTGTCTCGTATCCATGTTATGCATAGGGAAAACCACGAAAACGGCCATGCAGCCAGCCCGTTCGTCGGGAGTCGAACCCCAGACCGAACTACCAGTGTTTAGTGGCTTTTACCGTTCGGCCACTAGTGTTCTACACCTGTATATTAACGAGCATTTTTTGGTTGTCTCTCTACGAGCACGAGTAGGAAAGCGTTTAATGCATTTTATGCCTGCACCATTTAGAATCGAAGCAGCTATGAAGCCCTTGTTTTAAAAAATACCAAAAGTTTTGAATTCAAACTGTTCAAAAACGAACGGCAGATCAGTGGTATATGAATGCTGAACACTTGTAGTTCATCCTAGACTTAGCTGTTTGCATGTAGACTTAGCTGTTTTGAATCGACTGGCTATATAGGATTTTCGACTTTTTCTGTAAGTTCGACATGAATACGAACTGTTTTTTTTTAGAATATTCTTCAGAAAGGCATCCTTTCTTTTGTGCGGATAACTCTCATGTGCTTTGCCGTATTCAAATAAAACGCAACAAAACTCTTCGTAAATATTCTATGTATAAAAACGCTTCAGCCAAGGCAGATCACTTTCGCCTGCTTGGCTTAGAGAGGTAAATAGAATTTTTTTTAGCAAATTGCATTTGAAAATTTATATCTGTGACATGAAAAAAATTCAAAGCTTAACGAGATATCCTCTTGCAATATGAAAAGGTTAAGAAATGTAACAACAGTAATAAACGTTTTAAAATATTTATTAATGATTATTCTTATTAATTAAGAATACTTTAATTCTTATCCTTTAATCTTATTTATTCTTATTAATTTTATTAATGATTATTCGTAATACTTTAAATTTATAATAAACACAAAAATATTTTATGTAAGTGATCTTATTTGAATGTATTTTTGATAATATTTAATATGTCGTATCTGAAGTTTTTGAAAGTAGCGATAGACTTTATTTTTCAACGATTAACGACACTAGAAAAGCAATGCGGGAGGGAGTAGAATAAGGGCCCATAACCTATGGCTGCGGATGTAGACATCGTGACGCCCTTTTTTGAGCGTCTCTCTCACATTAAATGGTAAATTTTTGTTTAAATATTTCATAAATCGACGGCTCAGTCTTTTCTTGATGTTATTCCGAAATCATAACCTTGGAACTATAGGGAAAAGTTAAAGGTTTATATGTAGTTGACAAGATCATAGATTTTGTTTTATTACTCATTTTAAAAGCGAAACTGGTTTCGTGAATGCTTTATCTAAAGAAGTCTCCATTGCATTTTCTTACTATAATGACAATGACAGCACGATCTGGTGGACTTAAAATAATTTATCGTCCACCTTTAAAGTGTTCAAAGAGCAATATATAACATAAACGTGTCAACTGTAAAATTAAGCAAAATACGGCTAGCTTTAATTTTAGAGAAATACCTTATACATTTCGAGGTAATATGACACAAAACTGTCTATCTCAAGCAATAAAAACAGAACCGAGTTAGCGTACTTTATTCACGAATTTCTGTTCTGTTAATGCATGGAAGGTACTTTTATGCTAGACGTTTGTATTCAGACATATTGTTATTGAACGTAATATTGCCCCTTTCAGTTAGACTCACAATAGTCAATTAGAAAGAAGAATCTTATACTAAATTTCATATTGCATATTTTAGTTCTGCAAAACTTTTATTTGATGTTATCTAGGAGAAAACGTACTCAGTAATTTTGCAGAAAGGCTTCCATATACTATGTTGGTATTAAATACTCTTTTATTTTCTATCCATCTGTTGTGCTTATAGAAGAAGAATTTATATGCAGCGCAAAATAGTCGTTTACGCCTAAAAAAGTGACAAATTTGAAACGTTGGTTTAAAGTGTACAAAGTACTTAGTACATTAACAAAACAACCAAATGGCTGGTAGTTCTTTCCCCTTGCTTAATGTGCTATTTATTCATGCAAATTTCTTAACAAGGCTTTATGCACAGTTAATGACTTAGTCATAATGTCATTCTGGAGATTTGGATCGAATGTTTATCAGTTTAAGCCACTACTGACAAAATAATCCTCCTAAGACTTTGATCGTGATGCCTTTTTCCCTAGCAGCCTAATTCTCTTTTACGACTTTTATAATTATTTTTGATGAGAATTTTGTTAAATCTTTGAACATAATCGTTGATTATGTACCCGTTATAAGCTACTAATAATATTAATAATATATGGCTGGTGCTGAAGATTCATGATATTCTATAATGCAGAAAACCGATCGCAGATGACAAAGACGAAAATGAAACACTGTTATTTCACCATTCATCATCTGAACAGCATTCGGCATCTGCTCTAACGTCACAAATTCAGTAGCTATCCATAGGTTCCGAATGCATTGCTTAAGAAACCGGTTAATTGAAGATTAATTTTTACTCATATTCAAAATAATTCCAGAATCTCAGATTATTTACGTGTGTATGTCTTTTTATACATTTTGTTACATCATATACAATGATTTAGCTTTGTAAGTTATTCAATCCTACTGCATTTTAGGTTAACTGTAGCATATTTTAATAAACACATAATTCGTGTTCTGATGTTAGGCAATAAAATATACCTCATGTTATGATTTTGATCATATTCTGAAGATGTGAAAGACATATTTGTTGGCTGTTTAACCGAGTAGTACTACCATGACCATAGTAGAAACTTAGGCAATATCGTCAGGGTTAATGAAATGTTAAATAATTGAGCACTCTGGAAAGTTAATTAAAGCGACGAGCTAAAATTTGGTTACAGTCATTTCAGTTTGCCCACCGGCGGCCGAGTGGTAAAAGCCTCTGAACACTGGTAGTTCGGTCCGGGGTTCGAGTTCCGGCGAACGGGCTGGCTGCATGGGCGTTTTCGTGGTTTTCCCCATGTGTAATGTGGATACGAGCCAGTTTTTCTTAAAAAGACCTCCACGGGGCATCCCTCCCTTTCCGTGTGGTGCCTAAGGGCGAATCACATAATAAACAAAACAACAACAAAAAAAGTCCTTGCAGCTTCAACTTTTGATATTATCGAATTGTCCTTTTGAGAGCTTGTGCTTTATTATAAGACCTTTCCTGATTATAGGAATGCTAATTTTCTAGGTACTATAAAAGGGGCTAAATTAGTAGAAATAAACGATGCTACTTAATATTGCATTTTATTTAATTTAACATTATTTTATAAATGATTTATCGTACTAAAGAGGCATACATTTTTAAAAAGTTTTAACCATTTATGAATGCATAAAACTTAAAGTAAGGAAAGAATTATTTAGATAGGCAAGAAATGTAGCAACTAAGACATTATATAACATAAAGTAAGACATCTTGAGTACCAGTTAAAATCAGGTTGCAATAGCTCAGCATCAAATATTTCAAAATAATAAATCCGTGTCTAATTAACCCATGCATGCAGAAAATGACTTTAGATTGACTAGTTATTTATAATGGTACGTGCGTAAACTAGTAGTTTTTCTTTATACTCGCTCACACAAGCCTTTATAAAACTTTAAGATTAAATGAGATAATAATGAATAACACTTTTTTTGTTTTGGAGTTAAAGAAAAAGTCAATGATTCTACCTTTCAAACGCTTCATGCTAATTCGAAGGCGTTGACCTGAAAGCATTAATAAACGTAATTACTGCATTCAAGGCCATCAACCCAGCAAAAGCGTTACAAAGAGGAACATCACCAAATTTCCTCCCTTTTAATTTCCATATCTTGGTGAAGGTGGTGTAGAGGTTTATTTATTTAGTATGGTTTCGTATTCCATTTCATTTTGATATTATAATAACATGTGTGACTCGTATCATAAGGTTATGACTTATAATGACATTTTTATTAGGTATACGAAGACTATTGCTGGCATAGGAGTATCAGCACAGAAATACAACCCCGAGATGAAGGCACCTAGAGTACGTGATGTCACCGTAAATACACTTGTTGACAAGCTACAACACGTGAAACAAGTAATCATACTTTTTTGTTGGCTTTTTTATAATACAGTAATCTTTTGTTTGTTAGAAAGGAGCTTAAAGTTAGAAAATAAATGACAAAAATAGCTGAGAAGCCTTTCTTTTTTTATCTTTTATCTTTTCTTTCTTTGTTTTGTGTTTTCGTTGTTGTTACCAAGGACATTCCTTTATAATAATTTAATCGTTAGTTCAGCGTAAAATTATCTACTTATATCAAGTATCTACCAAATGATTCAACATTATCTTAGCAGTAGTTGATGCGATGCGTCTGTTTGAAAGGTGTTGTAATATGAAAACTGTAAAAAAGTATTAATTAGGAATGATTTTAGTTAATAACAGTATTATACGTGTGAATAACAAATGACGTCATACGTGAAATCGATTACTTTTCTTATTACTGATATTAATATTTCTTTAAAAATGGAATTATAGGAGAAAATAGAAATGATTTTAATCTAGTATAAAAAAATCGAATATCTTAGTGAGCACAGATATTTAAACTGCTTGAGTTATAGGTTTAACGTTACTAAAAATAAAGTACACTACTTTGACGGGGGAAAAAATCTTAATTCCAGCTGTCCTTTCTCTTCTTGGTAGAAGATGATTCATCAAAACAGTTAGTCGACGAGTCATTAACTTAGTTACACAAGGAAAATTTGTCTGGACGCTGTGTGTAATTCATTGAATCCTTTCAGTAGACAGGTCTAGTGTTTTCAAAGATCGTGATCGTGCACATATGTTCACGTGTTCTCTGGTTATGTCATTAATCAATCTTCATTCTGCAGCAATAAGGGCGGGGAGAAGCGCTCATCATTTTTAATTCTAGTTTTTAAATAATTTTAAAATTCTTAAAATATTATTGATCCAATTCTTCGTTTAGTTTCTATAAGGAAAACACTAAACCTACTGAATTTCGCATGAATGAGGCATTTTAACATTTAATAGAGAGTTAGATAACATTCATGTCAAATTATTTTTCAATATTATAACTCCTATCTTCGTTTAGTGTTGTAAAGTTTACTTCGTTGTTACCGCTTACCGTCTTCTTGCAAATGGGAAACATGCCCCGCTAGCAATCGGAGTCCCGGCGTGGTCAATGCACATTTTCACGTTTCCTTCTGCAAAAAATACTACTCCAAAAACATTTCATTATTAAATAAAGCAACACTAATGAAAAAACTCTGCGTAAATAATATGTTAACGAATTAATAAAAAATACATTATCGAATGATTAACGAATTGCAAGTTAATTATTTAACATTAGTTATTGAAATGCATTGAAAACTATTAGGCAGTATTGCACAGCTTACACCTCTTTCTCGGTAGGTTTCATAAACTCTTTGAAATGTTTTCCTTCTGTTGCCACTGAAAGCAACAATAATGACTGAATAACACTGAAAGCAACACACAGTGACTAAAAGAATGTTTTAACTAAATCAGTAATGATACCTCTTTGATCTAACTTTATCTGTACAAATTTTTATAATTAGAGCTAAATGGCATTTTAATATTATTTAGCTGTAATAGAAAGAAATTCCTTTTGTGTTTAGTTGAAGACCGATAAATTCTGGTTAGTAAAAATTGTCTTAAAATAAATTTTATAGGCCGGAAAATCTAAAAATCTGAACTGAAATTTCTTTTTCATGTTTCATAAATATGCGTATATCTTGAGTGAAAAATTCTTAACTTACTTACTGAAATCATGGAACGACAATGGGTTCGAATCCCAAAAATAGTGGTAGGCTAGGCGCGATTCTTCTTTAGTAGGAGTCACTACCATTTGAAAAAAATCAATTCAAAGGGCACTTTTCTAAGTGAAGCTAATCAGTTAATTGCTCAGCTAATCAAAATTTGTTTCTCTCTCTCGATATATATTTATAATAAAGTAAACTAAAGATAAAATTAAAAATGATTAAAATTCAAACTATAAGCTTCAAATGATAAAGCAAACAAATAAAAAAAATAAAATAAAGTCTGAATTGAAACATTAGGTACGAACGAATGAGAAGACGAAAACGAATTATTAAGAGTATAGAAACTCTGAAAAATGTACAGATGGAATTCCTAATCCTAGCTTGTATGTCTTTGCTACTTCACTATCAGTTTAATAATTTTGTAACTGGATGAACTTTTGTATCATTCATAAATTTATGTACCAAATTTACTTTTCTAGAATATTAATATTCTTAGAAGCCATTTGTTTAAGTTTGGACAGATTGTAGAGTCTTTTCAAGCAGTTTCTAGAACATTAATTTCCCTTACAGAATACCAGCTAGTTATTAGTTTATTCCCCTATTGCCTAGTATTTATTCTAGAGTTACAAATACTGTGTTGTTCGATAGGAGCCCATTATTCATCTAAGTAACCGGATTTCTAAGTTTAGATTGCTAAATGTAATGGATAATGTAATTAATGGCAGAGTTGTTTCATAGCACCTCCTTTAAGTACATTGCATAAATCTCTGGATGTTTTCTCAAATAGATTCTGAGCAGCAGAGTAACGTCGGTACCGCAGTCAGATTCCTCTGTATTGGGTGAAGGCAGTGGTAGCGGCGGCTTTTGGGCAATTGGTGACGATGAAGATTACGCAGGTGCATCCGGCAGTGGGGACTTCCAAAAAGGTCGGTATTCAAAAGTTATTGGTTCGTTTAAAAGATTTCGCTTTTTTTCATAGTTCGAAGTACGGCACGAAATGAGTGATGTGTCCGAGTAGGAAAACGTTTTCATTTCGAAATGTAACCCTTCATTAAAATGTGCAAAATAAATAGCTCCCCCCTTTATGTAAGAAATAACTGGATGATATTAAAATTTAAATTATTACAATGAATACTAATGTAACATTCAAAATTAAATGATTTTGTTGAATTGAATGTTGCGATCTGATAAGTGGCATTAATTCGCTCATTTTGAACTGAAAAGCTCATTTAAAAGTATTTCCGAATTTAATTAGCGTGCGTATGAAAAACCATGTACTCAAATTAATAGCCTTATAACAGTATTAATTTAGTAAAAGACTCGGCTTCATATTTCAAACAATGCTAATAAATGTAATGCTGATTAATTAATTTAGTTTTTGTGTTAATTCTACTACTTAAAAAGCTGCGATTTTTTTTAAATTGGATGAATTACGAATACAACTATATCATTTACAAATATCAATATGCATAGGTTACTAGCTGAGCGCATTAACCATTATATAACGGAATTATGATGTCTTCTCTTTGAGTCAGAAGTCACTTAGCATAGCTGAAAAATCTATGAAAATAGTTTATGAGGTGATGCAGTTTCATTCGTGATTTAAAAGTATGACAGATATTCTCCTATAATGATAACAAAGAAAAAATAAACAGCCTATGCTGGAAGAAATATGTATAATTTACATCTTAAAGGGGAAAAAATGTTGTAAAATTATTCAAGTTTCCGCACTGCTTTATTATTCACTTTTTAGAGACTGTAATATTCTAATATTTAAATTCTGAATGCAGTATCAAATATATTGCTCGTAATAAATTTGATGCCAAACATTGAAAGTTCCATTGCAGAAAGTTTGATCTACATCTGTTACTGTATCATGCAGCATCCCTACTCTCAAAATGTGATGTAAAATATTGAGAAACATTGGTTAATTATAAAGATATCTTAAAGATATATTATTGCCACCATTTAATAGAGATGCCGGTAAAGCTGAAGTATGAACGAAAACTATTATTATTAAAATTAATAACTTAGAATGATGTGTGAAAATACTGAAAAAATATTATATTCAGTTCGATAAAGATAAAAGTATCAATCAGGAATAATTACTTATTTATAATTAGTATAGTTATGTCTTTAACTTTAAAGCTTAAAAGAAAACGAAAATCAGTATTCCGTAATAAATTCAATTCAACAAAATACAATTTTTAAAGTAAATGACATTTTATAAAAAAATTGGGTTTTAATGTGTTTAATGTTTTCAAAGTTTTTGTATATGTTTTATTCGTTCACCCTTTTGATAGTTAATGACGAATCAGTTCACCCTTATTCTTTCGTTATTGATATATATTTGGCAACCTGAAAATATTATGAAGCAAACATTCTCGAAGAAATGTGTTTCTGTATTTTATTTGTGATAAATACACGATATAAAACGTTAAAGTGTTATAAACCATAGCAATGAAACTAAGAAAAAAGAAGGAAGACAGAACTGATATACTTTTGAAAATTAACAAAATATAAACTGAAAATAATGAATGTACTTATAGTTAAGAAACTATTTCAGAAGGTTCATTTAGTTATTTAGACGTAATCGTTTAGGGAGTAACATGATATTTGTACGCATTTTTATCTAATTAAAAACAAAGCACGCTAACAGAGCTGTTAGTCAGTTTTTGATCTTAAAGTAATAGTTTGTCCGTCTATAAATCATTGAAAACTAAAGTATATAAAATCAGAATTTTCTATTTGTTACTATTACTGAAAACAATTTATTCAGAAATATCACTTAAATTTGAATTTTGGAGCAAGAAATTCTCACGTAAATTCAACTGCATCTGTCCCATAACATTGGCTGTTTACGTAATATTAACTTGAGCTTTCTTTTAAGAAAAATATCTTTCTTATAGAAAACAAAAGTTTCGCTCAATAAATTGTTCATTGTACTGGAAGTTTCTATTTTGAACTTTCTGAAACGCACTATGATTTTTGTGTTTTTTATTTCTATTTTTCAGAGGATAAAACTGATCTTCACTTCGTGCGCAGTGATGGGGATACCACGCCCAATGCTGCTGGTGACAGAAGTAGAATCCCAGTCATCTTGGTCTTCTTCTGTACCGTCTTCCTTCTGAGGAGGAAATGAGTCCATTTTAGCAATATTTTCACGAGACTGCAACTCGATAATGCGCACATCTCCAATAGCACCGCAATAACTGTGTGCCAACGGCTCGTTCCTCGCTTATCGTAGCTAGCGTTTTTGCTCCCTTATTAACTAATCAAAGTGTTTGAGATCTATTTCGGCTAATCTACGACCTCAAGATATCAGCTGGTTGGGAAATATGTCATTTTGATTACCGAATTAGATCGGAATTTTGTTGAAAGCGATCTATTCGCAATGTTTCTATTTTCAAATGCTTTCAACTCGAGACAATGCACTTGCTTTCACGCTGTCTGTTGCATATCTGTTTGGCTTGGTGCTTGAGAAAAAGGGACGAATGACGTAATCGAATCCTGTAGCCGTGAATGTTTTTATTTCAATTTTGTTTTTTCACTGATTTTTTTTCCTATTATTATTTTTTTACAAAACGGTGTTATCGCCGTGATTGTTGAGAAGTGAGTCGTTTAAATTTTCAAAGTGCCATTTTCTTATGTTTCTTTTATAGGGCATTTTTTAATTTTGACAATTTTTTTTAATTCTTCCAAGCCCCTTTTTTTAGAGTTTCATTTGTCTCGATGTACTTCCGGGAGTTGAAACAATCGGAGTAAACTCCAACAGCTATTGTGATAATGCAAATAAAGCAAAATTTAAGTTGGTAGAGGCCGAGTTAAACCTGCGTGGGCCTTTCTCGCCTTCAATCAACGCAAATGTGTATATGTGTGTTATCTTGTCGTCTTAGATTAACTTTTATAATTATAAATGTGTGTATATTGCGCGAAAGTCCATGTCTAATCCGAGGTGATATATTGATTGCTGAAAAGTCAAATGCGAGAAAGCAAGGTTGTGATTCATTTTGTTTCCTAAAGTATATCTGTCTCTCCCTCGCTTTCATTTGCAGGCGTTTCTGTTTTTTAATATTTATTTTTCCCCCAGTGCGTTTTGCCTTTCTGAGCTTATTATTTGTGTTCTTTGTTGTCACACTGGTCCCTAGCAGAAAGAGCGGTCAGTTCAGGTTCGAAAGAAATCGAGGTATGTTTTGCAAGCGGTCGCGTTTGAACCTAATCCATTCGCAATAATTCTAGCCTTACTATATTTTCGAACAAAGGTTCACATAGACAATGGACCTCCATTTTCAGTGTCTTCCTCCACAGCTTCCGACCTTCGGCTGCGGTGTGATAAAAGAGCATATTTTTGTGATCTCTTGTTTGTTTGTAACGTGTCGTTGTCGGAAGACGTGCACTTTTCGAGAGCTGCGAAACAGAGCCGTATCCAGGGGGAATTTGGTTTCTCAATTGATAGAGATCAGCAGCGCACTATTACCTCTTTCGTATGAAGTAGAGGCCAGCACGTGTATTGCAGTATGAGAATCTCTGCATACTTCACCTTCCTTTTAAATAGTCAATTACTCACGAAAACTGCTACCTGAGCTGCATACATACACTAATAACTAATATATCTGTTAAAGAACTGATTCTAAAGTTCATTCTGTAGTAATACCATCAGTTACTCCGAGAAGCGGATTTCGCAAAGGAAAAAAATGTTTCAAGTCGCTGACAGTTAAATTTTGTATGGTGACCAGATGCGAAGCCAAAGTAGGCTAAGAACCATAATTCAAGTACAAATATTTAAAATCAAAGTAGTTAAATTCTTCCCGATTTAATAAAATGTTATCGTCTGAAATATTTTTTAGGAAAAGAGGAACAGATTCCTCTACATGAATTGAAATACTGAGTTTTATTACAAAAGCGTAGTATGATTATATATGTGGGGCTATATATGACTTGAGAACGAGGTTAAAGTATAAGCTATACTACTTTATTGACTAAACCAGCGGTTCTGAACCTTTTGACTAATGCGTACCATCTAAACAAAAATTGAAACCTTTTAGTACCACTAGAAAGTACTACTACCACCACGACTCTTGAACAAAGCTCAGATCTCATAAATTTACGAGTATTAGAGAAAAAAAACTCAATCAAGATGTTGGGGTTTTAATTTTTGAATTTAATAGTTAAAAATACTTTGCGTCTTTGCGTACCACGGGTTGAGAACCCCTGGACTAAACTATTATTATGAATTAGAAAGCTGGTAATTATAAAATTAAAGTAGCGGTTAGATAACCCCACAAGGATGACAGAGTCCATGAATAGTTCACGTAATAATTTAGACGGTCCTTTCACCTCATATTATCTAAGTTCAAACGTTACAAGATCGCTGAACATCACTGTTGACCTTTCTGGGCGATTACCACTCCTCGAAGGCTCATCAGTGTGATTCTCTGCTTTGGGCAGTTTCAAAGCTCGTCAGCTTTGGATCCGGAACTGAAGCACGTATGCTTCTGTTCAGGCCTGGAGCTCGAATATGCGCTGCGCTGGTAGCAAACTAGGGTGACGTCAGTGCTTGACAGACGTACTTCCCCCTATATATATATATATATATATATATTTAATGACACTAATATTTGCTTAAATTAAGCGTGATGATAAAATGTATTCAAATAATCAGTATGTTTGAATATTACGCCAATTTAATGATTACTAAAAAGAAACTGAATTTTAAAATTTTTCTCACAACAAGAAAGAATTATTTTCTGTTTGCGGAGTATTAATTAGTATACTTTAATAACTTTTAAACATTTTATTTGGGGTAATATTTCAAAACACACTTTGGTCGCTTCATAACTTAGGAATACATTTTATCATATTTCACTGTTCAGAATACTTACATATTTACTGTAGCCGAATGCTTTTAATGATATTACATACATAATTTTTTATTTCGTTTTGCGTAAGGTATTTAATTACTTTGTATGAGTTTATAATTTTTCAGGTAATTTAGTTGGCGTTGTTTTTTTTTTTTTTTTTTTTTTTAGAGAGCTTTAGCAATGATATATTAATTTAACGATTCATTCTTATCGTAGAGCTTATATTTATATAAAAAAAGACATCAGTTAGTTTCTAACCTTTGGAAGCCAAAGAAATTAGTCTCAGCTCTGAAAGTGAAATTAAAAAAGACGCTAATCGTGAATATGATAATTGAATCGGAAGAAGGGTATATAACAATGATGCAGAAATTTTTGACTTCGAAAATATTTAGAGTTTTTCTGTAGGAACTAAACAGCAGAAAAATTTATTCAGGAGCCCAGGAATTTTTCGCAGTACGTTTTTTTTCTTAAATTCGTAAGTTTAACAAAAATAAAACATATATTATAAAATTACGCTCTTATGAAAAATATTAAAAAAATTAGTAGTTGACGTAGTTGAACTTGTACCTGTTGAGTTTTAATTGCTTTCTTTGTTGCGCTCTGAACACTTTATATCTTTCATTACACCCAATCTGCGTATCCTTGACCTTTGATTAGTCATATGCTAGAAATAACGTCATCGTATATCTAGACATCAGTCATTTAATTAAACTGACAAATTTAATTATATGACGAATCTGCATAACCGCTGACTGTCGTTAACCTCTTCACCTCTTCAATTCTCTTGAAAACGTCACCTCTTCAATTCTCTTGAAAAGCGACGTCCAGACACTGCGTGGTTTCCAAATACATTGCATATGCTGTATATTTTGTACAAAACAATTAAAAGTAAAGCTGGTTTAAATACCGCATTAGCAATAATAATTTTTAAACTTCTTTTTTAATTTGTATAAATTATTACTGCCTCATAACAGGTGGCAAGTTGAAAACCATAAACAATTATTCAGACTTTCTTCGTCATTTACGCACAATCTGCTTATAAATCCTGTGACTTACGATACATAACACTGCCGTTATACATAAAATCGGACGACAAAAGATTTATTTTTACATTTATGTAAATACCGAAAATCATTTACGTAGTTTCGCATCGATATTATTTTTTTCAAATTCTAATTCTGTTAAAGAATTAAATTGGTGATTTTCTCTTTTATTTTTTTAATATCCTATATTTGAGAAAATATGCTCGCACACTTAGAAATTTTTTTTTTCTTTTCTGAAAGAGAGAAGGTATTCATTTGAATGTACGCTGCATCTTTATAATATAATGACCAGAGATTAAAATTGTGGCTGCAACATTTTATATTTTTTTTTTGATGATTCCATTGCTTAACATAATATGCAACTTTGTAATAAAAAATTAAATTCGTTTTCTCTGCCGGAAGCAACTCTAGTGTATTTGAAGTGCAGTACCTGGAAAAAAAACTAACAAAGTCAAGAGAATAAAATTAATTGTTCAGTTATTAAATTATGTAAGATAAACAAATGCGACTTTATTTTGCAAAAGCTTTAATATTGAAGTGACATAACTATAAGCATTTTTGGATTATCAAAAAGTGTAGAAAGTAAAAGTAATCTGTAGATGCAAGGTCTTAGCAGAATTCTATATCTCAGCCACATTTAATTCCGTATTCTGATTGATTAAACTCACAGTATTATTTCAGGTAGATATGAGTGAAAAGCACAACTGGACACTTCTAAAATTTACATACTACATAAAAAACAATATTTACAAATATTCTACGTAAAAGATGCGAAATAATGTAACTTTTGCTAATTTTCTACATTTAATTACGGTTATAGAAGCGTAAATTTCGAGTTCTGTATACAGCTTCCGAATCAATAATTACACCACAGTGTTGTGATATTATATATGGCTTGTCACATTCAGTTGAATATTTTACTGTATAATATTAATGTATTACTAAGTTTTCATGAAATGGAATAAATCTCGTGTCATTTATTTACTAAGTACATTCGCACAAAAATGAATTAAAATTCGTGCCTATAGAGTTATTTTTGCATAATAAAATGTAAGACCAACAAAAGAACATAAAGCTTAGATATACTCATATATGTATACTATAGAAATAGTCTAAACTATATTTAGCATACTCTTGTACAAATAATATTATAAAGCAATATCTGTATGTATACTAAATGGAATTTATTCTAGAGTAAAGCCATAGAACTGTTTAAATTAAAAAAATGGAAGATTATGTATTTTATATAACAATGAATATTTAATTAATCTCAGGGCTACTAAAATAGGCTAACCGGATTTTCAATAACTTTAATTTCGTCAATTTATTCTTTGAGCTTGTAAATAGCTGTGTATAAAATACGTTCTCAGAATAATGAGGTTTGTAGTCCATGTAACATAATACCTACTTTTATAAACACATTCAAATATTTGTCATTTAGAACAACAAAAACTTTCGTTTGTTGCATTTTTTACATATTCTACTTACTGCATTTATTACAGTTTCTACTTAAACTTGAAAAGAAAAAAAATTAAGGCATAAGAAAAAAGCAAATGAAAATAAATCAGAGCAATAAATTTTTAATATGTATTTCAATATTTTTTAAAGTTCTTTTATGGAAATAAAATTAACACAGCGAAATAAAAAGGCTTAATTTCCGATGCTTGATATTTCTATATAAGCACACCGCAATGAAAATATGATAATGACGATAAAAGTAGAAAAGTGCTTTACGTCCTTTTCTGTAAACATTTACAATAGCACAGTTACGTAATGTATTATTCTGTATTAATGCTAAAATTCTTATAGTAGCATTGTTCTCATAAACATGGATGTTTCAATACAGGCGATTATCTAAAATTCGTGCCTGCATAATTATATTTCTGAACACTCAAAATGAGCACATTTGCAATGAATGTCAGAAAATATTTGGTAAATATGTAATCTCTGCTTTATCATTTACAGTAAGTTAAAATTAAATTTATATCTAAAAGTATAACAGAACCATGTACTACACCTAATAAGTACACGGTTTTCGTGAAATATCGAGTAGGGTGTATAATTTATCTCACGTTAAGATTTACTAAGAAATATCTGATATGATATAATGTTCTTTCCAGTTTGTATTTACATTACAATATTTACTTAAAAATTTGGAAAATAGTGCAATAACAAAAGGATATTCTTAACTAAGTTTGAATTAAAATATAAGGGGAACATCTATACGTTTAGGAATTGCTTCAAAAAATGATACAAAGCGTAGTTTATTATTTATACATTATTCAAGAACTTTTCTGAAATTTTAAAAGAATAAAGTTAAGTAAATGCTTTTCTCGAGATCGCATCGTAATTAATTTCCGAATACCTGAAGCGCTTGCTGCATGTTTTAGATAAGCTGTTAATGCTTACTCTAAATCTCATAATAATTGCAGTTATAGCAAAGGTGAGCCTATTTGACTTTTAGCAACGAATTTTTCCTATACTTTTGTTCCTCCGTCCCCAAAAATGAATTGCTGGTTACGGCTTTGGACGAGCATAAAAATGAGATTTTCATCGCATGTGAATTGTTAGATTATGAGACCATCAGTTCCTAGGTTATTTGTTTGCAAAAGTATTTAAGCTTATCCTGGAGAGCTGGACTCTTCAAAGAAAAATGGACTTCTCTCTAACAGTGCACGTCTTCTGAACTTGTTCGATATGTGAAAATAAAAGCGACTTGCCTTTGCCTGTGTGATTATTGAAAGAACTTCTTTTTTCTCTTAATTCTTTTGTTTGTGTTCCAGCGCCTAATGTGATGAAAAAAAAAATGTTAATATTGTTACCTACAGAATGTGATTAAAACATTGTAAAACTGAAATGACTTGATTTTTCTTTCAGGCTGCGAAAGATCTGTTGATAGCACTTGTACGTTCATTCGAACATATTTAGTCACAAGTGAGAGCTTTGCAACTAGTGATAACAAAATGCAATTTTCTTTATTTTGTTGAAATCGCAGCCTTTGTTTTGTTACAACTCACTTTTTTTAAACAGAATCACAGCAGGAAATAAACATCTTGAAAAATGTTAATATTTGTTCTGTTTTTATTTCCACATTAAAAATTGAAAGCTTTTTCAGACTGAGTGAGTAATGATTCGTGAGCATACCATTAAACATTCACTAGATTATACTATTAAAATTCACTAATATAATGCCTCTGAGAAGAAGATCGAGTAACACAATATATAATTTGCGATTTTAATATACATATTGAGAAATTCGGGAGGATGCAATAAAAGTCATTATGCACTTGAAAAATGGCCTCAACGATTTAATAAGTTATATGTATTTAAGGGGACTCATACACCTTAAAACTCATAAGATGTTCGAATAGGTGACTGTTGCAAGAATTAGGATAACTTATTTATTTTAAAAGCAATTACTAACAACTTTTTACAGCTGACTACATAATATAGCTGCTTTTCTGAATAGTAATCAGAAAGTTTGTGTTGCCCAAATATTTTTATAATTTAATCCGCTTTGTGACAACATTTTCGTCGTCATGTTTCCAACTTGCGCGCACAGTTTTAAAACATTCTGTTTCATAATTTAATTCCATATTTAATATACAGCTTTTATAACATTTGGAAAACTACTGTCAATCTAAAATTCTAAAAATTTCATGTTAAAATTTTATTTATTTTGAGTTGAATTTATAAAATGTATTTTATTAAAAAAATTTTTAATGTTTTTCGTCCATAAAATTTTTCATATTAAAATATTCATCAGATTGTTGGTTCAGTTAGAAAATAGTGCCCATATAAAGAATTCCATGAAATTTCAAGTATGTACCATTAGCCATTTTTAAAATATCATGCGCGCAATGTGGAAACATGGCGAAATATTTTGTCACAAAGAGGATTAAGTTACAAAAATATTTGTGGCAACACAAACTTTCTGGTTACTAGTTCCCAAAGCAACTATGTTATGTAATCAGCTGTAGAATGTTGGAAGTAATTGCTTTTAAAATAAATAAAATGTCCCAATTCTTGCAACAGTCACATATTCGAAGATCATGAGGGGTTTAAGGTGTATGAGTCCCCTTAAGCTGACCATTGTGCATTAAAAGTGCTATTAAATTAAGGACTTTTATTTGCGGGCTTGAAATCATATCAAATATCTATGCCTTAGCCGAATAAATTCAATAGTTGTTGCATAAATTAAAGCTAGATTTTCTTTACTTTTAGGTAGAAGAAACTTCGTATTTATGTTCTGTTAATTCCTTTGTGCGGATAATTTCAAAACAGAGAAATATAATTCCCTTAAAAAGTGACACTTTCCTAGTGAAATATAAAGCACAAGATAATGTACGTAAATGTACTTAAATTACTTATCACTCTACACTGCTCAAAATAATTAGGTGGCAGTTGCTTATGAAAGCCATTCAGCTTATTTGATATAAGCATGGAGAATGCAAGCCAAGAGTGAGGTAAATAACAAAATCATGCCGATCCATATGCAGATTAGAATCCTTGTTACTATAATGAATAAATTGTAGCTTGATTATAAAAGTTAAGGTTTCTAAGGAACTCCTTCGTTCTGATGCGTTGAGAGACCCACTCCGTTTCTTGAAATCTCAACAAGTATACATACTGGAACTTACTGCGTATAAAACTATCGACAGTTTGGAAGGAAGCCAGAGTAGTAGGTGGCAAAAGAAGCCAAGTTAGTGCCAACAAAAGTTTCTCGTGCTAACACGACACAGATGTCAACCTGTCAACAATAACCTACATCGATGATGCCTTTGGGTACGTAGGCCAATGTTATATGTTCCTTCAAACGCACACAATTGATTGTAAAAGCCACTGAAACTGAGCTGTTGGTAGGATTTGTAGACTCTCGGTATTAAGGGAACATCCTGAAAGCTTACTCAATTTTATGAAATACATGCCACAGAAGTGTGCAATAGTCACAGACATCAAACTGTATATTAAATTACCATAATTAAAAAAGCAAATTATCATTATTAAATAATAAAATAATTTCCTATTTATCCAGTTATTCATATGAAAACATAGAGATGGTGGCACACGGGAAACACGTAGTCTGTTGTAAAGTTGATAGATATGTTACCCATGTTACTGAACGTAAACATTCTGATGCATGTATATTTTCGGATTTTTTTTAAAAATAATATTCAGTGCGCAGATATAGAGTGCGTTCTCAGATTTCTGACAACATTCGAATTATCAAGACTTTAAAAGCATTTGCTTCGCATAAGCATTTCACAAAGTTTTTGTTAACATACATAATATACGTACATAGCGATGGCATTACATATATAAATAAAGGGTAATTTGGGCAATAAATTTAATAATTTACTGAAAAATGTATTCTGAACTGAATTTTTAATTTTTTTGCCGTATAATCTTATATCTATTTTAAATTCGAATAGCTTCCTCCGTTTCGAATCTGAAGACCCCTCTGGGCTACTTGTGGGTCGAGGCAAGTTATTGTGCACAAAAGAATTAAGAGCTTGTGAATACCTATAGAACAGTAAATAAAATTAATTTGAACCACAGCTTGCGGTCGAATAATGAACAACACAACACTTGAAGATTTTGCCAGTTTTCCAACAAACACAACAGTTGTTGGGTTAAAACTCTAATCAGCTTATGATTCTAACTGCCAAATCAAGCTGACACCAACTGAAAGCAGCCAATTGTCTATTTTAAAATTTCTAATTATTCTCGAAATCGATTACCAGTGCACGACGAACACTTTCTCGAACAAAAACAAACCTACTATGATTCCACATTAGTTGCAGTTATGAAACCGCAGTATTTTAAACTTTATCCCGCATAACTGCTTAAGCATGTGAATTACATCAGGAAGCCAAGAATAAAGATGACAGTGTGAAACTAAACACTTAATTCTTACAGAAATAATCGAATTTCTCCACTTTTACATTTGGTCTCAGTGTTGTATTGTTTGTGAAAACATTTATTGACAAAATTTTAAATAAATGCAACCACTGCTTTGAAATAATCTTTCTGATTATTCCTGTACGTATTCCTAAATTTTGGCTAAAAAATAAATAAATAAAATTTAAAAGATGTGTGGCCCGTTGCTGCAACATTTACCTCAAATTGGCTCTCGAGAATACCGAAATTGACCGCTACTCAGACAGATTATCGCACCAGGAGCTATGAGTCGTAATATGAAAAAAATAAGTCTTATTGTGCTTTTTCATTTATTATTCTGCTTCTTGAATATAAACTATATGTTACTTTTAGCACACTCAATCTCAGCTAGTTACGCTATGGCTGTCCTATGCTTCCATAACTATTTTCAGCAATATTCTTAAAATAGAAATTTGCCTTGTTATTTAGCTATTGGTTTGCTGCTGACTTTAAATGCAATACAATATATTATCATAACAAAAGTGCATATTCATATTATTCATGCGTATCTTTACTAAGTACTTTTATGAAAACTTTCTACAAAAGGAATGATTGCCAAAAATATGGCATTGTTATCTGATTATGAAACACAAATCTGAAACAAATTCCACCTAAAAATAGTTGTTTATTTATATGTTTGAAAATAACTGAAAATGTTAGGTATGTCAGAACATGGAAGACAGGGTCAAAAAAGAGAACTAACTAAATATTAGGATAGGACTCGAAATGTAACATATCCTATTAATATTTAATTAAATTATATTTATGTAATTATCATCTATATTTAACTCTTCATGAACAAATAATTTTTATGTATGTTTTCTGAAATGTGCAAGAAATAAAATTCACCTTAGGTTTTTCTGCAGGAATTAAACTTTTTTTTTTTTTTTTTTTTTTTTTTTTTTTTTTTTTTGTGCATTAGTCAAATTTAAATACTGAGAGTTTTTTAATTGGTTGTTTGATAAAAACTTTCGCTCTGTAGCAAAAGAAAGTCTATTTTATTCACAAGTTCACCCATCCTTCTAAAAATCATTGATATTCAAACGTTATTCCTTTTTTGCTTATCCTGCGTAAGTTAAGTATTTACTTGCCTTCAGTGCAAAATTATTGTTTGATATCTTGAAAGTTTAATACCTATGTTTATATGTATGAAAAATTCAGTTTCGTAATACACTTACGTACTTCTTAAGGGGCAATGCAACAAATGTTTAGCTGAGTACAGGAAACTAACGCTGACTGCTTGAAATATTGGCTGCTTAAAAGTTCTTTATGCTTATAGAAATAAAGATCAGAAATATATTAATGGATACTTTTTCCTTCAAAGACAACGTTTAGGCAGAATTGTAAAGAACATGAATGCAGCATACCGTTACTTTAAAACTAAGATTCCAAACTCTAAACTGTATATATAACTTTCGGATTATTTATTCCTTCTGATTTAGATTGAATTCAAAAGTGCAGAAAAATCTAACAAATGATGACAAGGCTATAAAATGTGATCAAGTTTATTACAAACTTCTGTTTGGAAACTCAAAAGATATCTGCTTCTTTTAGTACAAAATGCAACATAATGATACAATAAAACACAATTTACAGAAAGAGATATCCCCCCTAACAAATCGATATCAACGCAAAAGTGGCTAATAGCATGGTTGCTCCGTAATCCTAATACAAGAATTACGAGTTGCACGTTGGGTTATATGTTAGTAAAATTCCTTCATTGAGAAGTATTGTTTCGCGCCTAATAAATTACTCGTATATTGTAAAAGAGAAAGAGAGCGAGTGGAGTATATGTGGCGGCTAGAATGTTACAAGGGTGAATTATTACAAATAAAGCTTTGCGATTAGAGATGATAGTAAGATATTAAAATTCAGCTAAGAAATATAATGAAAAAAATGAGAATAAGAAAATGATTAAAGAAAAAAATACAATAATGAGAGATAAGTGAATCCTGGAATGTATGAGAAATAGTTGAATATTACAAATGAGAAAGAATACACACTATAAGCAATTTATAAGTAGTATATAAATAAGGTGTAAAAGTAAACACATTTATCTTTCCTTATAAGACCACCATTAATTAAAATCAAATAAACTACATATCAAATGCAGATGCCATTAAAATG